CTTGAAACTATTATGAGGGATCATCTTATTTACTACCGTCGTTCTAAGTAAACAAGATGTACAAAATATGATAAACATCACATGCAATCAAATAATAATAGTGACATGATATGGCCAATATCACATAGCTCCTTTGATCTCCATCTTGGGGCTCCATGATCATCTTGTCACCGGCATGACACCATGATCTCCATCATCATGATCTACATCATCGTGTCTCCATGAAGTTGCTCGCCAACTATTACTTCTACTACTATGGCTAACACGTTTAGCAATAAAGTAAAGTAATTTACATGGCGTTTCTCAATGACACGCAGGTCATACAAAAATAAAGACAACTCCTATGGATCCTGCCGGTTGTCATACTCATCGACATGCAAGTCGTGATTCCTATTACAAGAACATGATCTCATACATCACATATATATCATTCATCATTCATCACAACTTTGGCCATATCACATCACAGAACACTTGCTACAAAAACAAGTTAGACGTCCTCTAATTGTTGTTGCAAGTTTTACGTGGCTGCAATAGGGTTCTAGCAAGAACGTTTTCTTACCTACGTGAAAGCCACAACGTGATTTGTCAACTTCTATTTACCCTTCATAAGGACCCTTTTCATCGAATCCGCTCCGACTAAAGTGGGAGAGACAGACACCCGCCAGCCACCTTATGCAACTAGTGCATGTTAGTCGGTGGAACCGGTCTCACGTAAGCGTACGTGTAAGGTTGGTCCGGGCCGCTTCATCCCACAATACCGCTGAAGCAAGATAAGACTAGTAGCGGCAAGAAAGTTGACAACATCTACGCCCACAACAAATTGTGTTCTACTCGTGCAAAGAGAACTACGCATAGACCTAGCTCATGATGCCACTGTTGGGGAACGTTGCAGAAAACAAAAATTTTCCTACGGTTTCACCAAGATTCATCTATGAGTTCATCTGGCAACGAGTGATCGGATCCATCTACATACCTTTGTAGATCGCGAGCGGAAGCGTTCAAAGAACGGGGTTAATGGAGTCGTACTCATCGTGATCCAAATCACCGATGATCCTAGCGCCGAACGGACGGCACCTCCGCGTTTAACACACGTACGGAGCAGCGACGTCTCCTCCTTCTTGATCCAGCAAGGGGGGAGGAGAGGTTGATGGAGATCCAGCAGCACGACGGCGTGGTGGTGGAAGTAGCGGGATTCCAACAGGGCTTCGCCAAGCGCTGCGGGAGGAGGGAGATGTGTCACGGAGGGAGAGGGAGGCGCCAGGGCTTAGGTGCGGCTGCCCTCCCTTCCCCCCACTATATATAGGGCCAAGGGAGAGGGGGGCGCATCCTTGGCCCTTCCTCCAAGGAAGGGTGCGGCCAAGGAGGAGTCCATCCTCCCCAAGGCACCTAGGAGGTGCCTTCCCCCTTTAGGACTCTTCCTTTCCTTATCTCTTGGCGCATGGGCCTCTTGGGGCTGGTGCCCTTGGCCCATATAGGCCAAGGCGCACACCCCTACAGCCCATGTGGCCCCCCGGGGCAGGTGGACCCCCTTGGTGGACCCCCGGACCCCTTTCGGCACTCCCGGTACAATACCGATAATGCACGAAACTTTTCCGGCGACCAAAACAAGACTTCCCATATATAAATCTTTACCTCCGGACCATGCCGGAACTCCTCGTGACGTCCGGGATCTCATCCGGGACTCCGAACAACTTTCGGGTTACCGCATACTAATATCTCTATAACCCTAGCATCACCGAACCTTAAGTGTGTAGACCCTACGGGTTCGGGAGACACGTAGACATGACCGAGACGACTCTTCGGCCAATAACCAACAGCGGGATCTGGATACCCATGTTGGCTCCCACATACTCCTCGATGATCTCATCGGATGAACCACGATGTCGAGGATTCAATCAATCCCGCATACAATTCCCTTTGTCTATCAGTATGTTACTTGCCCGAGATTTGATCGTCGGTATCCCAATACCTTGTTCAATCTCATTACCGGCAAGTCTCTTTACTCGTTTCGTAATGCATGATCCCGTGACTAACTCCTTAGTCACATTGAGCTCATTATGATGATGCATTACCGAGTGGGCCCAGAGATACCTCTCCGTCATACGGAGTGACAAATCCCAGTCTTGATCCGTGTCAATCCAACAGACACTTTCGAAGATACCCGTAGTATACCTTTATAGTCACCCAGTTACGTTGTGACGTTTGGTACACCCAAAGCACTCCTACGGTATCCGGGAGTTACACGATCTCATGGTCTAAGGAAAGGATACTTGACATTGGAAAAACTCTAGCAAATGAACTATACGATCTTATGCTATGTTTAGGATTGGGTCTTGTCCATCACATCATTCTCCTAATGATGTGATCTCGTTATCAATGACATCCAATGTCCATAGTCAAGAAACCATGACTATCTGTTGATCAACGAGCTAGTCAACTAGAGGCTTACTAGGGACATGTTGGTGTCTATTATTCACACATGTATTACGATTTCCGGATAACACAATTATAGCATGAATAAAGACAATTATCATGAACAAGGAAATATAATAATAATGCTTTTATTATTGCCTCTAGGGCATATTTCCAACAGAAAAGAGATGCGTAGGCAAGTCGGGCCTGGCGCCTACGTGGAGCGGCGGAGGTCCACCAGGGCCTGGGCGGTAGAGTGTGTGGTACAACGGTGACGGCGGTCTCAGACTACACGAATACAAAGCAAGAGGGAGGGGCAGAGTGAGAAACTTGAGGATGTTTTTGTGTGGACCGTGGGTGTCGGAGGCTTACATGAAAGTGGTCCAGAGGTCACAAACCTCCTCATCTTTCTTTCCTATTAGGGATTCAGGACATCCGGACTACATCGCAAATATTTGGTGCATGACGTTGGATGACCTAACATGTTTGGGCGGTACGGTCCAGATATTTGCAATTGTTTTGCTGCACGGTGTTGGAAATGCCCTTAGGTTTGGCCTTTCCTCCATCGTGTCACATTTGAGGTAGTGTTCGGCGCTTTTTTCACAGGAGGATTTGGCACATGTGGGATTGAGGTAGAGGATAGCCATTGATTACTGCTTGGCGGTGTTGTAATCTAAGCTTCTCTGTAAGAGCAAGTATAATGAGGTAACATAGGCTGGCTGTAAGACTTAAAATACTATATCTTTGCTGAGTTGGATGAGAGAGAAGATAAGCGGGCTGTAGATTTGCAGCCGATTGTAGCATGGGCTCCAAGAAGCTATGTGAAGTGTATGGTGGGTCATGTGATGAAAAAATAGTACTTCCTTGTAGCTCACTACTATACATATTGACTATTACATTGGCTATAGAAGACATGTCTACATGTTATAGCCACCTATCGACTATATTATTAACCATGCTCTAAATCAATCATATAGATTACCCGTTTGTGCTTTATTCTTATAGCAATCGTACATCCACAAGGTGTTGTATTTTGTGACACATTCTTCAACTCCACCTAACGCGAGATCCCTCAACAGCTCAATAGCATTCCACAATTAACAGGGCAAGAGCCACAGGCAAAAAAAGAAGAAAAAAGAACAGGGAGAGAGTAGGACGGTTTTCTCTTCTTTTCCTAACAGCGTGTTTGGTTCATGAGAATTAGATATGGGAATGAAAGTCGAGAGTGAGCAGATTAAAAATCCATTGTTTGATTCCAAGGAATGTGGGTTTAAGCCGGAATGAAAATGAGAGTTGAGGAAGCCAAACAAGAAAATGGGAGTAAAAAAATTATTTTCCAGCATATACCAGTGTTGTCCCACTCTAATTGTTAGCACATCTAAGTGACTCAATTAGCACAAAAAGAAAAAGAAAAAGAGAAAAAAATACACACACACGAATCTTCATATAAGATCAACAGCACATGACTTAGATGTACAATACTTATGACACATCTAGATGTACTTTAGCAAAACTGTAATTCTTATCTTATACCAAAAAAAAAAAATGGAAGTAAATATTCACTTCCAAGGCCTAATCCCTCCACAGATACCCTTATGCATACTCCCATTTCTCTGCCCGCCGTGGTTACCGAACATGTTCTAAAGAAGAAGAAGAAAAAAGGCAATATCAGGGGACGCAAAGGAAACACCTCCACCAGCCGTTGGCGCTTGACCCCAGCAAGTCAACAACGCACGCTCCAGCTCTCGTCTCATGCCATGTGTCCTGGCCTGCCGTGCACCAATCCATCTGGTGCGGAGGCGAAAGCATAGTCTGCAAATCTATTATCTTCGGGAACGATTCCTCGGCGCGCGATTAGCAAGAGATTATTGTACTATATATAGTACAGCGATGTTTGCCCGGGGACGCAAAAGGTGGGATAAAGCGGGTGACCGCAGTGTTCTCACAACAGAGGTCGTATCCATTGCAACCGATCACGTGCAACACAGCCTGTGGCGCATCCTTGTTTAGATAGTACAACGTATTACTATTTTATTTTGTGAGATGCAAGTCCAGATTCTGAGCACCCCCTGAAAAACAGAAACTGATCAAAAACATGTTTCGTTCGAAATTTTGGGAATATAATTCACACAGTTTAAACTACCACCATCCACTCACGGGCAAAAAAAATACTATCACCATCTACATGTATCATTGATTTGTCCTTTTTTTTTTGGGAGGAGCTATGTTCTGAGTTTAATGTCTACGAATAGTAAACAATTTTTATGTATGATGAATGTCGGGGTGTGTCCTCGAGGCTGGGTGCGCCACAGGAGGGGCTGCAATGCAGGGATACACAGCCGATCTCGCGGACGCGTGCTGGGTCGCTGTCGTCCAAGCGTCCGCTTCAGCTAATCTGCAAAGCCTATATAGAAAAGAGCCCGCGCGCCAAATCTCATCAAGAGATCCTTCCAACAAAATTCGAAGCCGCCGCCGTCCGCAACTCCGCCCCCCATCGATCGTGCGCTGCAAGTGCAACCCCAGCGACAGCGGTTCGAGCAGCGGCATCCACGACGACGGCGAGGCAAGCCGGCCCGGCAGAACCAATGGAAGCGGCAGGGGATGGAACTGGAAGGTTCCGAGGACGCCTCGATGCCGCCGCCGGTTCCATCTGCAGGTACGTATGTGAATCAAATCAATCACCAGTGCTCTTTTTGTTCCACTCGATACTATGCTTTCCCCTCCCCGGCCGGCACCCGGTCTGCGCGCCTCCCTTCTTCGCCGGCCGCGTCGAGCATGGCCTAGAACCCAGCCCAGTCGCGGCGTAGTTGACGCCGCCGCGTCGGTTGCCGCCCCCTGAGTGCCTTGCCATGTCGCCCAGCACGCTGCTCGTCGCGCCGCGCTCGCTGCAGAACGTGCTCTCCGCACTCGGCGGTGCCACAGGTGCGCGTCCGCGAAAGCCGCAGCTTGCCGGTTCGCTGCTCGCCCAGCATACCGTAGGTGCGCGTCCGCCACAGCAGCGGATCGCCGGGTCGCAGCTCCCCCAGCATGCCATAGTTGCGCGGCCGCAACTGCCGCAGCTCTCGCCGCGCTGGACGTGCTCGCCTCTCGCCGCGTCCAGGAACTACGCCACCGGTCCGCGCGTGCTCGCGTCGCCGTACCGCACGCCTCTCGGCGCGGCGAGCAACTACGCCACCGGTCCGCGCGTCCTCGCGTCGCCGTACCGCATGCCTCTCAGCGCGCCGAGCAACTGTGCCGCCGTCCGCACGCCTGTCGCCGGGCCGAGCAACTACGCCCCGGTCCGCGCGTGTTCGCCTCGCCGCACAGCACGCCTCTCGGCGCGCCGAGCAACTATGCCGCAGTCCGCGCGTGCTCGCGCCGCCGTACCGCGCGCCTGTCGCCGGGCCGAGCAACTATGCCCCGGTCCGCGCGTGCTCGCGTCGCCGTGCCGCACGCCTCGCGCCGGGCCGAGCACTATGGCATCGCTCCGCGCATGCTCGCCTCGCCATACGGCGCGCCTCTCGCCGCCGAGCAACTACGCCACCGGTCCGCGCGTCCTCGCGTCACCATACCGCACGCCTCTCGCCGCGCCCCGCTCGCGCGCCTCACTGCGTTGCTTTCCGCGGCCGCTGCTCGCCTCTGGCCGCTCGTGCTCGCGTCGCCGTGCCGCCCCTATATTGCTACGGGGATTAGTAGATGCGGGAGGACTAGCCGCAGTGAGATCAGCTAACTAATCTACTTAGTGGTACTCCTACGAATTTCTTCCTCATCATGCAAAATCTTGTAATAAGGGCGAACTGATTATGTTTTCCCCCAACAAGTACTACTACAATTACGCGATTTCATCTTATAGTATATGGTTCTTATCTTAACAGTGCGACGGATCTGCCTTTGACCAGGCCAGCTCAGATGATGGTGAATGATTGGGAACGAATAGTCGTGGACATCGGTAGCAGCGACGAATCAACAATTCATCCAGCAAATGACCTTCTCATACAAGCCCTGGCTATTTACCCTTACTCCCACTTGGTTGATTGTTGGGAATCCAAGCTCGAGAAAGATGCAGAATTCATCCGCCAAAGTGAAAAGGGTGGGAAATGCATATTCCTCCTGAATAACACATTTGATGTTCTGCAAATGGTGCGGCGTCAAAGAGCATCTTTTGCCAGTGACGAACTGGCAAGTAGGCTCACTTCAATGATCGAGCGGTACAAGAAGAGCTACTTGGACGAGTGCTGGGCTCCTCTGAACCGTCTAAACTTGGAGGAGTTTAATGCTGAATTTCTTGCCACCTGTAATCGCCAGATGACATGGAAGGTCACAGCGGAACTCAGGTATCAACTGCGGCAGGAGATCGTGGATTTCATTGTTCCACCGTATGAGGTGTCCTTATCTGCACTGCAGGGAAAGGGAAAACGACTTTTAGGGGCGCCTTTTTCATTATTAAGGCAGCAAATTGTGGGAGAGAAGAAACAAAAGAAGTACTACCATACTGGTGAGCAGCTAGAAGTGGAGATAAGAGGATTATTTGAAGGGTGAACGGCTAAGCTAACGAGTGAGGATAGGACACTGGACCTGTACACGGCCGTGGCATTTACCATATCTCAAATAAACCCGTGTAACTTTGTCTCGCGGAAAGGGTTTGTTTTGTTTTGTAATTTATATTAGTTGCATATATAGACGCCAACAGTGAGTAGTAGTACAGAGGAGACTAGAGTCGGCAAGCCAGCTTTTTGGATATAGAAGGTAGAGTTGGTATGAAGCCATGACGTGTAGGCTAAAAGTATATATGCAAAGAAAATCAATAGTTTTGTTTTTGTTGTCATGTATGGCTCATATCTTGTGCCCCCTCCCCCCGCGCCCCAGGTTAGGAGCTCTCGCGATGGCGTGGGCAACTGCGCCACCCCTGCACCTTGTGACTCGCCGCTCCGGTGGCCGCGGCCCACGCATCCTCGGCCTCCATTGCTACCCTTGCGTGTTGAAAATATGCCCTAGAGACAATAATAAAGTGGTTATTATTATATTTCCTTGTTCATGATAATCTTTAGTATTCATGCTATAATTATATTGATTGGAAACTCAACTACATGTGTGGATACATAGACAACATGTCCCTAGTGAGCCTTTACCGGACTAGCTCGTTGATCAAAGATGACTATGGTTTCATAGTCATAGACATGAGTTGTCATTTGATAACGGGATCACACCATTAGGAGAATGATGTGATGGACAAGACCCAAACTATAAGTATAGCATATGATCGTATCAAGTTTATTGTTATCTTTTTCTGCATGTCAAGTATCTGTTTCTATAACCATAAGATCATGCAACTCACTAACACCGGAGGAGTACCTTGTGTGTATCAAACGTCGCAACGTAACTGGGTGACTATAAAGATGCTCTACAGGTATCTCCGAGGGTGTCTATTGAGTTGGCATGGATCAAGACTGGGATTTGTCATTCTGTATGACGGAGAGGTATGTCGGGGCCCACTCGGTAATACAACATCACAATGAACTTGCAAGCAATGTGACTAAGGAGTTAGTCATGGGATGTTGTATTACGAAATGAGTAAAGAGACTTGCCGGTAACGAGATTGAACTAGGTATGGAGATACCGATGTTCGAATCTCGGGCAAGTAACATACCGATGGACAAAGGGAACTGCATACGGAATTAGCTGAATCCTCGGCATTGTGCTTCAACCGATGAAAGATCTTCGTGAAATATGTAGGAACCAATATGGGCATCCAGATTCCGCTATTGGTTATTGACCGAAGAGGTGTCTCGGTCATGCCTACATTATTCTCGAAACTTTAGGGCCCGCATGCTTAACATTCCGTGACGCTAGAGTAAAATTAGGATATTCATGTTGGTGACTGAATGTTTATCGGAGTCCCAGATGAGATCCCAGACGTCGCGACGTGCTCCAGAATGGTCCGGAGGTAAAGATTTATATATATGGGACGTCATATTTGGGCTGCCGAAAAAGTTTCAGGCATTATTGATATCATACTAGGAGTGTCGAAAGGGG